CACTATTAGATAACAAAAAATTTACTATCAAACAACAAAAGTAAGAACTTCAAATTGCCGATTTTATAAATTTTTGTAGTTAAGTAATAAAAGTTACAATATATTAATTGATATCAAATACATTATATATACAAGATCATGCTTATTCAAAATATTTGAATAGTCGATTGATTTAGTTGACTAACAACTCATACGTCTTATAAATCTTCTTTGGATAACTGATATGATGGCCTTTCAAATTAATTAATAAATTTTAATAATAAATCAATAAATAAATTAATTAGCTTATAGGTAGGGTGAACATCGATCATTTTTACTAGTGATCACATTACTAATTTTTTTACAATAACATTTAATTGAAATCAGGTGATGATCATATAATATTTATATTGTGTAACCTAGGCAAATTTCGATCAATCTAGAAAGAATTAATGATATATGCAAGTATGTTTTTTTAAATAATACAGGAGTTCAAATTATTATAATTAAAATTAGAAGGGTCTAATCTATCTACCCTAAAATTTTTATAAAAATCGGTTACATTTTTAAAAACTTTTATATGTAACATGTGTTCAATTTTTGCGTAATATTTTTTTGGTTGATCTACTTATATAAGAAATGATCTATGTTCACCTTACCCTTAACTCAGACATAATTCGGGCTCAGACATTGGACAATGTCCAAAAATATCCGGTCTGACATAATTTGCTCAGACATCCAAAAATGTACAACACTGCCTATAGGCATGCCATTTATTATGTTTTAATATAAAAAATTAAAATTTAAAGAAAAATTAAATCTAAGTTCCGAGATATTCCGAAAGATACAAACCGTATATATATAACTGGCCAATCAAAAATGTGTATTTTATCACGTGATTAGGTGGCATGCCACCTGGCATGCCTGGCACGGGCTTTGGCAAATGACATGCCATCTGGCATGCAAGATTTTTTAGCCATGCCACACACCCTAGTTGTAACTATCCGCATTAGAATAGCCACCAAATATTGCTCATAACTATTTTGAGCTAAGCAAACAACGATTGTGCCAAATATTTACTACAATCGTTGTGTCAAATATTTACTACAATCGTTGTGTCAAATATTTACTACAATGCTTACTCTCTATCTAATGTTTATCGTATGATGAGAGTAATTAACCACCGGAATTGATCTATATCTCTAAGCCTTCATCCGCCAGATTGATCTGTATCTCTAAGCCTTAATCCGCCACCTAAGACCACCAAGTTACAAAAAAGCCACGGGTTTAAAGTTTGGCAGTAATGCTATGGCACTATAATGCTGCAAAAGTATTTCCATACTTGATTACATGGGTATCCGGCTTTAACAATTTGTTAGAGTACCGTATTAGATGTTCGGCCCGAAATAAGCTTAATTTAGGCCGGAATTCATAACTTCACCCCTGCGCGTAATACGAGCAAAAACTAAATGTTTTTGATAACTAGATATCAAAAAATCAAAATTTTTGTAACGTTATTTACATAGCTTTCATTTTTAGGTTTGCAAGTATGAACGTACGTACTAGATGTACTGTACATACATACACACAGTACGTACGTACTCCATTTTTGCAACCTGCAGCAAAGTATTTACCATTGAACGAAAGATGTTAAATATCCACATAACTAAATTGGTGAATTATTCTTGAAAAAAAACCCCCGACAGATTTTATAAGTTATTTTTAAAAAATTTATAAACGTAAAATGATAAATGAAAACACTAAATGAATGATGTAAATAGAGTTGATATTCGAGTAGGGTCCGACTCGACCTGGTTATGTTTATTCTAGAAAATTGTTGAATAACGATAAATAATGATGATAATAAATATCAATATACCATTTGCTTTGTTTTTTTTTCCGCATTTGACTTATGCTTTTTAATTTCCTTACGTTTCCCTGTGACCAATCATATCTTTTTTACAAATGAATGAAATTTTAAGAAATTTTAAAAAGTACTAATGTTTATTTCTGATTATGTTAACGGACTTTCAAACCATGTTCTACTTTCAGTTCTAAAAAAGTATTATGTCACAAAAATGTATAGCACAAATATAATGTTTTTTTGAATTTCATCTAGCACTGAGCTAGTTGGAAAAAACTTGGCCAAATTGGCGTTTTTTGGCCGGTGTTACTTACAGTACGTAGTTGTGCCTTAATTTTTACATAGTCACCTTATAATTATTATTTCCAACAGCCTTAGCATCGCCCACAAAAAAATGTAGCTTATGCCATAGTTATAGTTCCGAAGCACAGTAACGATAATCTGTGCACAGGAAATGCGTACGTAGTAATTTTGTTATTACTGCTATTGCTAATTAATATTTTTTTTGTGGGCGATGCTAGGGCTGTTTATCATTTCCCTTATTATTAGTTACCCACTGATTATCTTAGCGTTAGTTATTGTCGCAGATCATAATGAAATCGGATTAAAATGAAACTGGGGACCTTTTTTGCTCATCTTTAAAGCTTATAAAACCCACTTATACTCTTTTATTAATAAAACTAACTCTAAACCCTAACCCTAACACTAACCCTAACCCTAAAAAATGTCCCCCAAAAAATTTTAAATTTTCCTAAAAAAATAGAAAAATTTCATTTTAATCCGATTTCATTTTAATCTGCCACAGTTATTGTACCCTGGAATATTCTTTAACCGGCTGATTGACAGATCCTATTTTAGAAATTAATATACCATCGTTGTATTTCTTAATTTAGCCACGGGTCGCGAAGTCGCGTAACTGTTATTGTGCTTGGGAAGTAAGGACTTATCGGTTTTAAGGAAAGAGGTTGTAGGAGCTGTTTTAATTTTCAGCCGCTAAAAATTATTTTAAACAAGATGGTGCTATATAATTTTAATTTATTAGATATTGCATAAAAAAAAATTAAATTAATTAATATATTGATACTTTAATTTTTATCAAAGTTATTACATTTTTAAATGCGAAATTTCTTATCAGCCAATTAAACCTTTCATTCTATATTAATTTTACATTATTGGTATTGAAAGTCAAAGGTTTACAATATTACCACTATGTAAACCTCATTGAATAAGTTTTTGTGAATGAATTATTTGAATTTAATAAATCTTATACATTTTATACATTTCTTGGGAGTTTTTTACATTTCAATAAATGAACTTTTAATCTGTCAACTAAATCAACATAGTCTTCTTTGCAATAATTACATTTTTGGCAAGTGTTGTTCGATCATGTTTATCAGGTTTAGCAACTTTTGTAATATTTAAGCGGATTTCTTTTAACAGGGTCATGAAACATCGTTTTGAAGAGTTCTTTTAACAGATTTAGATCAAACAATTATGATCATTAAGATCGTGTTTTAAAACATTCGCCATCCCTGGGATGCGGGACTTTAACATGTATATAAGGCCTTCCCATTCACCTTGGTTGAAGGTTAAGTTACGCCTTCACTTACGAATTAAGACTTCTGTGCGATTCATATATTGATTGTTATTATATTTGCTGAGTGCTCGTACCACATCTTCTATATTTAATACACTTATTTTATTTCTGCATGCTGTCATTACTACTCATCACGTATTTCTATTCATGCATTCTATTTTCGTTTAATCAGAGCTAAACTGGCTTAGTGTAAAAGATAACTAGGGTTGTAAAAATTTTGTGTAATTTTACGTAGTTTCGTGTAAGTTTTCTGAAACCAAAATTTTGATATCATGTGAGTAACGTTAGTCAAAATTCATTGTACCTGTTGTATTTTTGAATATAAAATTATAGCTCCGAAATGTGTATATACATCGCTGGCTAAACTTTCATAATGTTGGTGCAAGCTAATCTACTATTAAATGTAACATTGCATTACAATTTTATTTATTTGTAGCGTAAATATAATTTATGTAGTTTTCAATCCTAAGCAGAACTCTCCGTATTCCCTTTACAGTTAAGGTTGACCGGATTTAGAGTTTGGGCTAGTCCATTTAAAGTTAGCACTGATTAAAATTAAAAATCAGTGAAATAATTAACGGCGAATTCGGGAAAATGGCATACGTACGTACAAATATGAACATATTCAATTTTGGCAGGTAACCATTTTTTTTTTTTGTACTGTATACTTTTTATTTTAAAAAAAAAGAAAAGTTTTTTGTAGATATCAATTTTAATAATTCAGTATTTAAAATTTATTTTCCAAAATATATAATGTTCGGTTAAGGGTTGTAACAAGCATGCAAAGCGATATCAGTAAATTTTTAAGGAATCATTGTACTCAACCAGTATACAGATATACCATAAATGTAAGCACGTATGTACGTACCCGCGTTTTTTATATCTGATATCTTGGCGGTTAAAAATAAATGTGGTACTTATTTACAGTACAGTAGTATCGGTAGTAGTCACGAAACTTAAAAGTTTAAATTAATAACCCGCTTCAATTTTAGTTAGACTTTATGTGTGGTAGATAACCGATACGGTACCTTGGAAAACTACCTAAAAAATATTACGACTAACTCATTAAAGTCAAAACTGGATCTATTCGAGTTTTATTAAAATAAAAAAAAATAAAAAGTAGAAAAAATTGGATCGCATTCAACCTATATTTGTATACATAAGATCATTGAAAAAAGTTATAATTTTGAGCACTATGCATATAATACATTTTTGTTTTGATTTATGACTAGAAACAAAATAAAGTTAGAGTTAAGGTTACTGTAAGACTTTAACGTTTTCAAGAAATAAATTTTTGCTAAACAGATAAGTAAAATTTCGATAACAAGCATTTGCTTACTAATTTTGATCTTTGTACAATGTTACTCCCTTTCAAAGATTAAAGTATTACTCGTCAAGAAAATAACGATTTTTTTACACATTTAAAAATTTTAAACTTTAATTTTTTTGTTTATTTTACAACCCGACATTTTACGATTTGAATAAAATACAGCAACTATTTTAAAGTCTTTTTTTGACCATATAAAGACAAATATTACACACGTTTTGTAACAGATTACATCAACCTTTCTGTAAAAATTCAAGTAATGGTTATAAAAATCTATGCTTAACTGTTTTATTTATTATAGCATAAAGTTTACATATAAAGTTTGTCACATAGGATTTTGTCGTCGTTAAAAGATATCGCCATAAAATATGCATAATGATAAATAAAAATTTTGCCAATTTTACGAAATACTAAACATTATCATGTAAAGGTAGAAAATCTAATAAATGACTATTGTAAATTGCGTTAGGATGGCCAATTTGATCATTGAATATAATATATTCAGATATAACTCTATCGTCACTGGCAGTATTTAACAAATTTTGGATGGGATTATTATGTAAAATATCGCCTAATTCTGCAGCTTTCGGGCGTTCACTCGGTTCATGATGCCAGCATCGTTTCATTAATGTTAAATATGCCTCTGGTGTCTTATTATTAATTTCTGGACGTGATCCATTACATATATTTTTAGCAAGGCCAAGGTCATGTGAATCCTGGTAAAAAGGACGCATACATGTAGACAATGTCCACATAATTATTCCAAAGCTATAAATATCTGAAGCTTGGGAATATTCTTCACCTATTAATACTTCTGGAGCTACATATGGTAAAACGCCATAAATTACAGAAGCTGTTTTGTTGGCTGGTCCATGTAATCCGATATCAGAAATTCTTACACCGACACTTCCAAGTTCATTTTCAATTAGTAAGTTTCCGCCGTGAAGATTGCCGTGATAAAGTCCATTATCATGAATTCGTTTAAGACCATTAATAATTTCACAAAGAATTCCAATAATATCTTCCCAGAGAAGATGTCTCCTGACTCTTTCAATGTATTGGTATAAATTTTCTTTAAAAAACTCAATTACGAAAATGTAGCAATCGGTAGTTGGATCACGTGTAACTCCAAAGCAATCAACAACAAATTTTCCTTGAAGACATTTATGATATCTTATAATCTATACAAAAAGCATAAGAATAGTGTTAAATAAGCATTTAGTTTTTTTAATGACTTGTAAGAAAACTTACATTGTCTAAATACTCTTGATTCATTTTATCAGAATTTTCTACACTTTTTAATACACATTTCGTTGGACCATTTCTAGACCAGTCACCGTTTTCTTCATCCCAATTCCGTGGACCTTCTAGCCATAATCCACTATAAACGATACCAAAAGCGCCTCTTGCTCGATATTCTACAAATTCAATACTTTCAAACGGAATCCACTCGAGATAACCTACGTCATTGCTTGCATGACGTTGTGTATTTTGAATCATTTGATCAATCATTATGTTACCACTTGTCCATCTAAGAAAATTTCGAACTAATGCTTTAACTTCACATATTGAACACCATCTACATAAATTTCCACATTCAAAACATTCAATGTTTTGTAAAGATATGTCAGACACCATTTCTCTGAAAGATTAATTTTTTTAAAGAGAGGTTAATAATAACGTTAATAAAATTATTAATCGCGTTTGTTTTTTTTAAAAAAAAACGTATGCTTACATTAAGATATTTATATGAATGTCTATTTTTATTCGAAAGGCAGAATTAGGTAGAAAAAATTTTTAAGGCACTATCCTTTTCTCATTACATATTTATATATAACGATAATGATCGTCTGATTATATATTATCAGTTATAAAACGCGTACGTACGCATATGAGTATATATATTACATATATAATTAATTATACATTAATTACATTAATACTGTAAATTTCTTATTATTGCAATTTTTAAACTAATAAAATTGTGTAAAAAATACACGTTTTAAATTCAAGAAATATTTCTTTAAAGCTATAATATATTGTTCTTATGATACAAGTATTTAACCATTCTCGTACATATTATTTGGTTACTTTCTAATAAGTGATATCGTACGAAAATTTTTTATCGGAACTAGTAAACAACCCCACAAAATAGCCCCACAAATCGGCAAGAATAGATTATGTTATTGGTTACAATGTTCTGATAGTATTGATTTTTCTGTTATTCATTGTGAATTTTACGTCATATCGATGGTAGACAAAGTCACATTGTAGTGCCTAGTGCAGTGAATAATTAGCCATCATCAACAACGGGATCAATAACTTGTTAACATTAAGCTTCAATAATAATATGCATAACGATAAGGTTCAAAGAAAAAATAAAATTGGTCGATAAAATATAAAATTACACGAATAATATATCGTTATACATTACATAACAAATAATTAAGTTTAGGCTGAGTCTAGAAAGGCGGGAACTTAAAAATCAGCATTCCGAACATTGTTAACGGTTATACATAACCTAAATATTTATCGCTATATAATTTAAATGTAATATGATGTCACAATAGTCTATCAAATTGTTAAAACTTGTTGATAAAGTAAAGTTTATTCTGGCGCAAAACCTAACACTAATTACAAGTATCAGATCAAGTTTATCCTATTTTCAGTAACTAAAAACTTGAGTATCAGATTAACAATAAGGATCGGATTGACTAGGTAGGAAGATTAAAAGATACAAAACGATAAGAATTCTTACTGTTCTAGAACTCAAGTCTAATAAACGTTTTTTTTTTTTGTTACGCAAATGTCAATATTTTAAACCACTATTACGGAAATCAAATGTTAGTAACCAGGTAATTGTACACCTGAAATAGTTACTCATGACGTTTATCAGTGTTATACAAGGTATTCTCAAGGTATGATTCGCCAAGGTGTTGGATCATTTTGGCGTCCAACAAACAATTCAAGGTACCAAGGGGCATGGGAAAAGAATAACCTTCATAAAGAAGATTTCTCACCCCGTAAATCATGTAGTTAGTAGTAATACAAATGTCAATATTATACATTCGAGACATTGTATGACTAGAGTAAATTACGTAACACACAACACATTATGCATTGTACTTCCGAGCGATCATAATGCTATCAAATTCGAATCCCAATTTGTTGAACATTATTTAGCATAATTGATATCGATATCATTCAGATCCTTAAATGGAAAATCATTTTCAAATATTCAAACTTATTATGAATGACAGTTTGTTAAATAATTTTTTTTTTTCAAAATAGAATAAGCCTTCATTAAAGATTAAAAAAAAAAAGTTGAATTCATACGTACAGTACGTATACTCATATTTACTAAAATTACGGAAGTGTCTCTGAACAATAGAGATTGTGTTACGAAGTATAATAAATACTGTATTAATCGTTTTTGTTTCAATCATAGTATGAAATATTAAGGATCTAGAACTAGTAAATATGAACACAAAAAGTATCGGTTTAATGTTGTGGAAGTATGCCAAGAATCTCGCAATATTTGGTATCGTTTAATTAATTTTTTATCTTATTACGTTATGTCACATTGTGTTTTGTTGTATAACAGTTTAAAAGGAGATCCTATATTATTAAACATGTCAATAATATTTATAACTTCAAAAATAACCGCATTCAGAATATATTAGAATTAAAAATTTTATTTTTATAATTTTAGTTAGCGTTCCCACAAAAAATTAAAAATTGTTCGCCCTTATAATTTTTGATCAATCAAAGTTTAGAATCAGGTGTAATGATACGTAAACATAATTGCTTGCTTTTAAGGAGTTAGCAAAAAAATTTCGAGGCTTACTATTAATAGCTTTCAATACAAGACTCTACTTTTTACAGCTGGGAAATATGATTGCTTTTTTTTTTTTATAGAAAGGTTAAAAATTTTCGATAAATTTATTGCGCCAATAGCAATATTGAATATTGTAATTAAATATCTAGGCAGCGTACTCATGAAAATTATTTCTTTGTAATTTTTTAACCAATTAAAATTCCATAATAGTCATAATAAAATAAATCTGTTTTTTAAATTATTTATATTAATACATACCGTATAAAGGTGAAATAACACTCGTGGGCGTTATTTTGAAAATCGTGTCTTCAACAATAACTTATATGGCCTCGAATTAGCACTCATGGGATCCAAATGATATACAGTCGACACTCCATATGCGCGCTGTCTTATAAGTTGATCGATCTAATGTAATTATATGTAGATTTTTCTTCACAAATAAACTTTCTATAAATGCAATTTTACCCAACAACTACATTTATGGAAGGTTGACTGTATTAGATTTAGAAAATCTACTCTTAATCATGCGCAGGTCAATTAATTAGCGCGCAAGTGAGCGTTATTTTGCGCTTTTACAGTAGTCAAAACAAATATATTTTAAATCTAAAAAAACTTTATTATAATTAGTGATGCAAATAGCTTGAGCTGAGCTGCGATCTAAAAAATTTTATACTAGATTATGCAAGTTTTATAATATAAACTAAATTTTTTTAAAGTTTATTAATATTAAAGTTGGTGTTTAAAATAAAAGAATTTTAATTTATTGCAGAATAGAACATATTGTATCTATATTATAGATATATAGATTATTAATCTCATGTAACAAACAATTAAAATAATTTTTATTAAATAAAAATTAAACTTCTTAAATATTAGAATGTAGAGCTTTACATATAGTAAAATTAGCAAAAAAATAGTTTTATAAATAAAATTTTAAATATTATTAATTTTTTTTTGTTTTTGCTTGTTTTTATTTTACAAATTGATTTTCATATTTTAAACTTGTATAATTAGATCTTTCTAAATATACTTTTTTAAATACATAAATTATATAAATTTTTTGTTCTAGCTTATAAGAACTCTATATACATATTTTGCTTTTTATAAATATATATCTCTCTAAGTACAAATCTATTAATTTTTTCTATAATTTTGAAAAGGGTGCATTTAAAGAGGTATAACTATAATTTTTTTTTATTGTCAATATTATATATAAAAAAATTAGCTATTACATACATCGGGAAAAACTTTTTATTGCTGTTCTGCGCAGAACTTCAAAAAATTAAATAATAAAAATCTGTGCAAAACTTCAGACTTACCAGCTATAGCTACAGAAATTAAATACAGTTCTACTGTGCAATATTTCAAAATATAAAAAAAATTTTGCAAAAATCTGCATTTTCACAGATTTTTGCAGATTTGCACTTATTTAATTCTCCCGATGTAGTATATTATCCTTTAAACTATCAGGTTTAGTGTACAAATTTGTATACTAAAATATTTTGAAGAAAATTAAATTTGAAAAATTTTTTTATAAAACTTTTATTTTAATTGGTTGTAGTGATTCTTCAAACCAAAGTTACACAGCTATAGTTTGAAATACTTTATATAACCAGATTGAAAAGTATAAATTTACATGATGGCTAAAAAATAGATTATATTTTAGAGAATTACTTCATATCACCACTAGTGATTATCACCAGTATAGTTTTTAGAGTTAGGGTACATTTTTAAGAGGTGTTTTTTTTATATAATATAATATAGGTTAGATATAGGGTTCTAATTTAAATTCTTATAAGATTTTTAAGAGTTCTGAACATTTTTACTTAAAGTATCTAGTCCTGTTTACTTAGTAGGTTTTTGAGATATAGCAATACTGGTAATGATCACCAGTGATAATAAATAGTAAACCTTTATATTTTAAGCTATTATATCTCTTTAATATTACTTTAAAAATTAATTATATTAAGTTATTATGAAAAATTTTTGATTAACTTTAAAGTTATTATAAAAGAGACCCCTGCACAATGATTGTAAAAAATCTTTATAAATATTATATTAAAGTGTCTTTTTAGTATTAAATTTGGACACAAAGATCTTATTAATTACTATTACAGTTAATATTAAATGTCGCGGATCATTGTGAAATCCAGATCATTGTGAAATCTAGGACCCTAATTTAAAAATAAAACCCTCATAACCCTAACAAGAGCTACTTATACTCTTTTATTATAAACTATAACCCTAAATACTAGTTCGTATTTAAAAAAAAGCCCAATAAAATATACCCCAAAAAATTGAATTTCATGATGATCTGGATTTCACAATAATCCGTGACATTAAATAATTAATTTTTGGTATATTGATAAAAAAAAATTATAGTAAGAATTAAATAGTAATCAAAATATGATATGTTTTTATTTTAGTTTAAAAAAAAAAGAGTGTGTAGTTTAATAAAAGTTTGTATAAATATATAAAAATAATTTTAATATACAAATTTATATACTAGATAGTGTTACAATGCTATAGCCTTCTTGGTATTGTTATAGCAAAGTAACAAGGTCACTCAGTGCAGTGATATACTTTATAAATATACATGGGGTGGACGTGAAGTGTATACTTTTTACTTCACAGCAGGAGGCAAATGGTTCAAGATAATAACAGTTTATAGAGATAATAATATTTATTAATAACAGATTCACAGTAATATCCTTT